TGGACCAGATCAATGGAGGGAGAACAGTATAAATGACAGTATATCCTTCCTCTTACTTCTCCTATATGTTGCTTTAATTCTTCAACAGTCCAACCTTCTTCTCCTCTCACTGGTACAGCTGGTACTACTTCACCAGTTGACAGATCAACCACTGATACCTCTAGATTAATACCTACACCATCAAACACATGTATAGTATAGAAGTATTGCCATGGTAACAAGCTACACCCACCTCCATCATTGTACTTCTTAAAAGTTTCATTTTCTTTACAAGTTTCTAAAAATAATCCATAATATCCAGCCACACTCATAATCTGTCCAATAGTTTGATGTTGAAACTAAATTTAATAATACGATCATTATAAAAATAGGGTAAATCATAGTAAAACATACTTCATCAAGATCAAAGGACTGATGCATTACTTCGGACGAATAATCATAGTTAACTAAACGACATCTCTCAATAGAAATATGAGGAGCTAATTCCATTAACTGATAAAAAATGAATAAAAATGAAAGAATAAATAGAAATAGATCAATAAACCTCATAAGCTTTATCCAGTACACTGGGTAGTAATTCATCTTTATGTACTTCAAGAAATGAATTAATTAATTCACCAGTAACAGGATGATTACAAAATAATATAATCTATAAAAATAAGTAGATAGTGTACTTTTGTCCATCTCAATCTTACTCCAAACATTTCTTTTCCAATTTTTTGTTTCTTTTCTCCTCTCTGTCTTTTCTCCTCAGTCTCTTTAAAATGATCTATTCAAATATCAACAATCAAATGATGACACACATCATCAATAAAACCTGTAATATCTTTTATAATCTTCTCATTGTGTTCTCTTTCAGTCATTAGTTGTTGCAAATCTATTTAAATATCAACAATCAAATGATGACACACATCATCAATAAAACCTTCAATATCTTTTTTAATCTTCTCATTGTGTTCTCTTTCAGTAATTAGTTCCATATTCATTAATGTTATTCTTTCTTGTAATTTCTCAATTATTCTTTTATTATCCACTAATGGCTGATAGTCTGGTCTTGTCATTGCTTTAAGATGAAATTTGCAGTCATCAATTTCAAAAGCCATTCCTCTTCTCAATCTGCTAGCAGCTTTAATTAATTATATAATTATTAGTATAATTAATAAAACTAGTCTAACCTGAATCAGTATTACTAGTAAGTGATCTCAAATACTCAATCTTCATTTTTGATAATTTGTCTGACAATTCTTTGTTTTCTTTTTGTATCTCATTAAACTGAAACCTCAATACAGTCAACTCTTCATAAAGTGGTTCTTCCTATTAATGATTATTATAATTAATACAAACTAGTGAGATATACCTCAACTTCTTTAATAGAATCAATATCACTTTCAACAAACAATGACTCCTCCTAATAATATATTTACGTAAACTAAAATTATGATCAATTAAGATTCATACACAAAGTATGCAAAGAATTGAAATTCTAACCTCAGTTACTTGAGCCATTGATATTTCTTGTTTCAATTCAATACTTTCCTATAAATATAATTAATATTACTGTATACATATACCAGTTTATTTTCACAGTAGAAAATTTTCGTGAATCTTGCATTTCTAAAATTTTGCGGAATTAATTTTCACAAATAGCTTGCAGATTGCACCATGTGGCAATGAAAATGCAGAATTTTGTGGTAGAAAAATTTCAGGATTGAGCAAGAAACCGTAAAATTTTGCAAAAATATTTCACCTCAAAAATAAACTGGTATAAGGTACATTGCACAATCTAGTAGCATGACATACTTTCTCTTTGCTACTGATAGTATCTCTTAGTTTATATTCAGCTTCTTCAAGTATAATATA